TAATCAGTGGAACCAACCACCTGCCCTCAGAAGCGGTGAATGCTCCAACACTGGAAGTTTTTAAGAAAAGACTGGACAGCCATTTGTTTGAAATGGTATAGGATTTCCTGCCTGAACAGGTGGTTGGACTAGATGACCTCCAAGGTCCCTTCCAACTATCAATAATAATAATAATAATAATAATAATAATAATAATAATAATAATAATAATAATAATAATAATAATAATAATAATAACAACAACAACAACTAAATGTAGAATTCTGGTTTCCTTGATTGTTGCCCTACCAAAATATAAACTAGGCAAATGTCCCTTTTATTTACAGGTAAGCACATCACTCCTTTGAACCTATTAGGCAAAAGATTCTCATCTGGCGATCCTGCTGAGATTAGAAGCAATCAGCATAAGAACATAAATCATAAGAATATTAAAAACCACAATGACAGCTGAAGTCTTATCTTATCCTGCATTCTGTTTCTAAAGTGAGAACTCAGTATCTAGGAGAAGTGACCACCCCCACTTCGCCTCACCAGCAACTGGATGGTTGAATGTTTAACCATCATTACTAACAAATATAGATAACACAGTCATAACCTATCTTACGTGAAATTGGCTAGCCCCTTTTAAAGCTGTTTGCTGATGGCTTTTGCCACATTTTACGTTAGTAGATTTCATTGTCTAACTGCACAGTGTGTGAAGAAATACTTGGTTGTGTGTTTTTTGGGAGGGAAGAGAGAATCTTCCAGAATTCTTTTTAATCATATGAACCCAATTCCAGAATTATTAAAGAGGTGTCTATCTGCTGTCTTCACATCCCATACATTTTTATATTCCCCTTGTTTGCCATTTTTTTCTAAACTGAAGGCCTGAAAGGTTGTATCATTTTCAATTAGGCAAGTTGCTTCAGCTTCTTGATCATTTTTGATGTCCTTTTCTAAAGCTTCAGTATATAGGCAATATTATTTATCAGATGTGGCCACTGGAGCAGTACCTGGCACCCCAATGTCAAATCTCAGATTAACAATTTTGTTTTGGGAGTTCTTTTTTGATCTCTTTCTTAATTTTCCTAACATTCAGTACCAGGAATTTTGTAGAGGATTAGAGTATATGCTTTCCGTGAGAAAGTGACAGAAACCTGTGCCTTGCTATGGGTTCTTTACAAAGATGGAGACCTAATTTGCTGCAGTTGTTAAGACTATCCCTGTATGCATTTTTTCTCATCCCTGGCTAGAGGCTAAGCTGGTGTTTCTCAATCCTGGCCATTTTAAGATGTGTGGACTTCAACACCTGGAATTCTGGCTGGGGAATTTTGGGATTGGTCATCAACACATCTTAAAGGGGAAAAGGTTGAGAAATACTGCACTAAATATCCAACTTCTGCACTGGCTCAGCAACTTGCAAACAGATGTTCCAGGACCACATAATTTAATGTTTAAAGTACTGTAGTAGTTCAAATACAGTACTCAAATGAATCAAGGCAGACGTATAGCCATTTCTGCTGTTGCTTTGCTGTATGTTCACCTGTCATAAACACTAAATAAAAAAGGGTCAATGTGTGTCTTTTAAAGGTGATCTGGATTATGGATTCAATCCAATTCGCTTGGTTTTCATGATGCCTAGGCATATTCTCTCTCTCTCTCTCTCTCTCTCCCTCCCTCTCTCTCACACACACACATTCTTCAGCTATTGGACAATATATAAATGTGGTATAAAAATAAATTTATCAAATCAGAGACATTATCATTACTATCAAAGGAATCTGGGTGTTCATATACAAGGATGATTTACAAGCCTTTAAAATAGCAATATCCCCCCCCCCCAGATTCTACTTTGCAACCAGATAGGAAAATGCTCTTTATTAGATAGTAACTAATATGTAGATCTTCTAGACAGTACTTTGGATTGAGTTCCACAATGATGCTCTGAAGAGTGTGAAATGTGTGAATGTAAAACCTATAGGCGACTCTTCAATATAGCCATGTCTTTTCTGGGATTATATGGCAGTCACAAAAAAGCAGCCATCATAAATGCATGCCAGCTCCAAGCTTCTGAATTTTGATCATGTGACCACGGGGATTCTGCAAGGGACCTATGTGTGAACAATGGACATAAACCACTTTTTTTAGTGCCGTTGTAACTTTGAAGAGTCAATAAATGGATGGTTGTAAGTCGAAGACTACCTGTACCATAACATTGTGACGGGATATCATTGGCTTTTTTACCAGTACACATAATGACGCCACCATTCATGCACAGGGCCGTATCATGGGCTAAGGAAGATGATTGGTGTTGTCAGGGCATGGTTCGACCTTGCTGAGCTGCAACTAGTGAGCAGGTCTGGTTGTTGTTTTTTGTTAAGTTATATAACTGCAAATTCTCCAACACCAGCTGCCTTTTTCACAATTCAATCTTGAGCATTTCGAAAATTTGTTTTTTTCATGCCGATATCCTTCAATTAATACTTCCTTTTCACTATCTATTCAGTGAGGGAAGTAAAAAGTAAGAATACAGGAACTACTGGCATCAGCTTGACAGTTTCTTGTTTCTCTCTCTCAGCATTGTCTTTGCGGTTTACATTTCTCAGACACAGGCAAATAGACAAAGCATTACAGATTCAAGAGACAACATGTACAGTGAGCAATCCTGATAATTTTGCAGAAGGATGTTGGATGAGATGCATTAATATCCACTGTGGAATTGATGATACCTATGATGGGAAGATGTTTTGTTTTGATATTATTTAATATAATGGTTTAGTGGTTCATTTTTTTCTTGTTAATGTGAATTTTGTGTGCCTAAGAAAAGTGATATTTAGTGAAGAAAGTACAGTTCTGATGGAATTCCCCTAAACCTGGTGTAAAAAACCCCTGAAAAAAAGGAATGTAGAAGAAGCTGGTAGGAGAGTTACAGGATGATCAAGCAAGAAAATATATTTTCTTCTGAGGAGAGCGGAACCCACAAAATAATACATCTGAATTAGAAAATGGCCCTGATCTAAACATGAGGCAGGAAAACCTTATTGACCAGAGCACAGACCAACTCTTTGATCTACTGCATCGTATTTATGACACACATAACACAAAGTCGTGTGTTTTATTTAATGAATCACATGTATTAGATTTTCACTCCTGCACAATCATAATGGATCTAAAATCCTGCACTCTAAACTGATTTCAACATGACTCAGGATTTTTCCCTGCTATTGAGTTGGTGGGAATAGAAAAAAACATCTAAATTTGCTGTTTTCATTGCTGATTCTTATTTTGCCTCTAATACTTCCATTTCAAGTCACTGCAGGCCCCCCCGATGATTTCCCTCTTAGGTGATGAGAACCAAAGACTAACAGCTTTTATATACCTTAAGGTGGCCTTCAGCAGTATCCTTGGTAAAGAGAACATTGTTTCAGTACTGGTACATCTAAGAGTGACTCATGAAAAAGAGCCACGATGAAGGCCATAGGAACGGGGCAGAAAAAAATATGCCAGGGCATGTTTGTGAGGGTTGGATGCAAATGAGGGAAGGCTATAAATAGTTCAAATGAATCAAAACCACTTCTACGAAGTCTGGAAAAATCGGTGTATTTCAGATTAGATAACATTAGAAATCAAGATAAATGTATCTCATGAGATTAAAGGTGCTACAATTGCTCAGGATTAAACTACTTGCTATGTGCCCAGTATTTTCCTTTTGTTGCATTTAACATTAAAGAACATTTATTCAGTCTTTCTTTTTTCATAAAGGGAGCCCATGTTCTAATCTAAGGCCTTGATCTGAAATATGTCATTCAGACCCTGATAGGTTTTGCTGAAAATTCTCCAACCGTGAACATAGTACACCCTTCAGAGAAAGAGGAACTATTCTCAACCTGTATCCTGATTGCTGTTTCTTCAATATAACAAGCAATTTATAGAACATATTTAATTTATTCAATATGGGTGCTGCTCAACTCCAACTGCCTCTAAGCGGCTCACAACAGAATAATATAAAAACAATATACAAAAAATTAACAGAGTAGCACAAAAGTTAACTACAAAATAATTATGTGAGGGCAACCTAAACAACAAAGCCAACATAAAATGTCACAAGCAGGGGAATCCCACCCATCTTACTCTAGGCTTTTCAAGGCCTTCCAGGACCGCTTCAGGGTGGGAACTGCAGGGATCTAGAAGGGAGGCACCATTCAGATAAAGCACATTTTCCAGCTTCAGAAGATGACACTGTTTAATGGAGGGGCTTTGGAGCATGTCCACCCTACCAGATCATACAGGATGGACAGAAATCACGAGGCAGATGGTCCTTCAAATAGTAGCCCTATGCCAGGGATGGGCAACCTTGACTCTTTTATGACTCGTGGACTTCAACTCCCAGAATTCCTGAGCCAGGCATGGTGGCTAAAGGAATTCTGGGAGTTGAAGTCCACGAGTCATAAAAGAGCCAAGGTTGCCTACCCCTGCCCTATGCTATATAGGGCTTTCTAAGTAATAGTCGCTATCTTAAATTCCATCTAGAAACCAGCTGGCGAATTGTGCATCTTGCAGAGCAGGGGCACCAGTGAGCAATATATTAAATTCAGATTTTTTTTTTTTAAAAAAAAATATATTTTAATAACGTGTGCTTAATGTTACGCCAATGGATATTTTGCTTTCTCCGATAGTTGAGTAGTGGCTGCTACAGCGATTATACTTTCCTATATGCCAGTTAGAAATTTGCCCGAATTCAGGAGATTGAATGAAAACCTTCCACCCCCCCTCTTGGTACTGTTACCCTCCCCCCCCACCAGACTTGCGTGGCATCATCACAACCACAGCTCGAAAGTGCACTATAACAGGTAAAGCTAGACCGCACAGGCGCGCTTCCTTCCTTAGTAAAAAGGGAGAAGGCGGCGGCGAACCACTTCGACGAGAGCAGGAGCGCAAACCCCGACTTCGGTCTCTCTCTCAGCCACCACGCGCTCTACCTTGCCTCCGCCGTCCCGGGCAGGGTCTCCTCCCAAGGGGCGGGGCTTGTGAACGCTCCACACAAGTTTGGGCGAGGCGGCCGTAGGGAGTTCCGGGCTGGGACGGCGGCGCGGAAAGCAGCGTCAGAGAGTTATGGAGAGCGGCGGAGGCGCCTACGGGGCCGCTAAAGCGGGAGGCACGTTCGACCTGTGGCACTTCTTGCAGCAGCCACAGGTCATCGCGCGCATTTTCAGTGCGGTGAGTGTGCGGAGGTCGGCCCGGCCCGGCTTGAAACGATCAGGGGGCTCGAGCTTGCTTGGAGACGGATTCGCTTCTTCTCTTTTACGTCCCCCTCGCGGGCACGCGTGGAATGGGTGCTCTCACCTGCTCTCGGCTAGGGTGTGGCCCACGGCACGTGACGTGGCCGGAGTGCCGGTAGGTTAGGGGTTCTGGCAGCAGCTGCGGTGGGGCCGCTAGAGGAGCCTCTGCTTACTATCGCGCACCTGGGCTGGGACCCCTACCTAGGAGGGAAAGTCGTCTGAGCGGAGCAATGCAGAGTCACGCAACGCTGTTAGAGCGGGCGGAGGCCCCTGCTGGAACTCCAGCTGGAGAATCGGCCAGGCCAGGGGTAGGCAACCTTGGCTCTTTTATGACTCGTGGACTTCAACTCCCAGAATTCCTGAGCCAGCTATGCTGGCTCAGGAATTCTGGGAGTTGAAGTCCACGAGTCATAAAAGAGCCAAGGTTGCCTACCCCTGGGCCAGGCCGTCGCCCCCCCCCCCCGGAGAGGGATTATTGCTTTATTCCAGGGCGAATGCTAGAGAAATCTCCCTTCGGTGTTTCGCTTCTCCAAAATGCCCGCGACGCCGAGCCGCTTGGGAAAGTGAGCTTCAGGCCGGGCTGGGATCAATTCTTGCCTTTTGCTTTGCAGACCAGACGCGGGTGTGTTTTGACGCTCGCCGGGCAGGAACCCCCCCCCCCCCACCTTCAGGTCCTTGGGGCGACGGAGGGTCGGTGCTTTGCTTCAGATTAGCTTTGTTTCAGTTCGGCCGGATTAAACTCCCTCCGTTTGTACCGAGTGTTGTTTGCACGGCAGCCTAGTCATAAGGGAGGTCAGCTGATGGACCGCGGGTGGTGCGCGGGGCTGGCTTCCTTGCAGTCTTACGAGAATAGGACCAGCAAGTGAGCGCGGCCGTGGCTCCGGCTCTCCCTTGCTTTTAAGCACCCAGCCCTGCCTTGACGAGGAACGTGGCAATGCCCTGCGCGCCGGCAGCTACTGCAAGACTTAGGGAAATAAGTCCAGGCACCCTAGACCAGAAGTAGGCAACCTTGGCTCTTTTATGACTCGGGGACTTCAATTCCCAGAATTCCTGAGCCAGCTGTGCTGGCTCAGGAATTCTGGGAGTTGAAGTCCCCGAGTCATAAAAGAGCCAAGGTTGCCTACCCCTGCCCCTAGACAAAGACCCATTCAAGTCGAGCTCGACTGGTCCCTCTGGTTTTCTTGGCCAAAACACGGAAGTAGCTTGCAGCCGTCTTATTTGACTCTCCTATACTCTTACTTTCTTTTAAGGGCGAAGCCTGAGAGGGTGGCCTGAAATCCTGGGAAATTTGTATTTGTTAAAGATTTGAAGTGATTTATTCTGTGGCTTTTTTTTTTTTTTTTTTTTAAACTTTTTAGAAGTTTCTGTAATTTTCTTCAAAAAATTTTTTAGTATAGCCCAAGCAAGTCATGCCTGCACACAAAAAGGCTACTATGCTGATTTGGTTTGAGAGGCATCTGGTTTGAGGGTGTGCTTGATTACCGGCGATGAGCATTTAGTTTGTTTGTCGTTCGGGAGCCTGTTTCAATTCCATTTCATTATCAGGAACCAGGAAATCTTTTAAGATAAAGTTTCTGGTGTTTGTGGAGGGAAAAGTGAGCACATGTCTGTGAACGGTGGATGGGGAATTCCTCTTGGGCAGGGCTGTTGCCTGAATAGCAGAGCTAGCTGATTGCGGAGTTTTATGGTTGGACCATACTTTGTTTTAATTTCTTATTACTCCCTTTTTATCACAGCTTTAATTTATGATAGTGTTGGACAGCATACCAATAAAATGTGCCTATATTGCAAGTTGGCTTCTTGCCCTAGAATAGCGCCATGCAGGAGTATTCGAGTTCAGAACTTGGAGGAATCTGTTAGTAATTTGATAAATGGTTAAAATGGGCTTTCCCCGTTGCCCTGGGAAATGCTAGCATTGACCTTTTCCCCTTCTATTATTTTGCAGGTATTTGCACTCATTGTTTTCTCCTGCATCATTGGAGAAGGTTACACCAATGACCCCCAAAGCTCTGAACTTCACTGCATCTTTAATCGTAGTGAGGATACCTGTCGTTATGGTATCGGCATTGGTGTGATTGCCTTCCTGGCTTGTATATTTTTCTTTATGGTTGACGTCTACTTTCCCCAGATTAGCAGTGCCACTGATCGCAAGTACCTCGTTATGGCCGACCTAGCCTTCTCAGGTATGCTTCTGGGAGATGTGAACTCAAACAGGTCTCTGGGGGAAAAAGCTGAGTTCTGTCCATGCTCTTTTTTCTCTTCCCTCTCTTCCAGACTTGGACAGCATTTTCCCTTTTGGCTCCTATTCCCCTGTGCTTGAGTGTAATTATTCAGATTTTTTGGGAATGATGCTCTTTTAAGGTTTGCTTTGTGAAAGGGCAAAGTGGCTTTAGGGATAGGACCTTATTCTGGGTGATTCTTAATGTGGATAACTGCTGAAGGATAAGAGACCATAGAATTGGAGCCTGTTCTCTGGTTTAAACTTAAGGTGTCTTATGCTCTGAATAAAAAAAAAAATCACTATTGGTAGTCTTCACTTACCGACTGCAACTGGGACCTGCAGTTCCATCACTAAGCAAAGTTATGTGATTGCAATTGTGAAGCACATAACCCACAGTTAAGTGCAATGCCATTTGACTATGATTTGCGACTTCCTGCTGGCTTCCCCATTGATTTTGCTTGTTGGAAGTTGGCTGTTAAGGGTTGCAAATAGCAATTGTCTGACTGCGGAGTGGTGCAACCATCATAAAGCCAAGCACCCAAATTGTGATCATGTGACCATGGGGACGCTGCAATGGCTATAACATCAGAGGACTGGTCAGAAATCTCCTTTTTCAATGCCACATCAGTCTCTGCCATCATTGACAATGATCAAGAATACTGGGATATTGTTCCAAGTGTTTGAAGGATATCAGATTGCCTAATGCCTATCATGGAGTTAGAATGAAGCCTGCCCATGCTCTAGACCAGGGGTCCCCAGCCCATAGACCAGCATTGGTTCACGGCCTGCCAGGAGTCGGGCTACGCAAGTGAGTGAAGTCCCATCTGCACACACATGGGATCCAGAGTGTGTGAAACCACACGCCCTGATCCACGAAAAAAACATCCTCCACGGAACCAGTCCCTAGCGCCCAAAAGTTTGGGAGCTGCTGCTCTAGACCATTTGTCTAAAGTGGCAAATGCTGACTTGAACTCCCCCCAAAAGAATGTCAGAATAGGATTAATGTACTGTAACTTCTCATAACTAGAGTTAAAATGTTACTTCTGTGCTATCATGTAATCTGTAAGGATGTGATTAAGTGCTCCCTTGTCTTCTGTCTAGCTGTTTGGACCTTTTTGTGGTTTATTGGATTCTGTGTGCTGGCAAACCAATGGTCATCAACAAAGGCTGAAGATATAACACTTGGGGCTGATTCTGCCCGTGCATCGATTGCCTTCAGTTTCTTCTCCATTTTTTCATGGGTAAGAGTTTCTTCCTCTGTCTCAAAAAAGCCCAGGGAGGAACATTGTCAGCCTAGGGAGGTCAAGTAGCTTTAAGGTTTATTTTGCCTGGTTGATAAACAGGATAGGAAACTGGTGATTCCTTTGCTATTTCATTAAAGGGACCTGAGCACAAAACCAGAGAATAACTGATCCAAATCTCAGTCATTAACACAGCCTTCTAATTGCCCAAGGAACATGAAAGTTATTATCTTTTATAGAAAGGCTGTAAAAACCTTTGTGGAAGGAATTCCAGGGAAATGCATCCAGGTGCCTTTTACAATAGAAATGACTTGACGAGAAGTAACTTTTTCAGTTAAGCTGCAGCGTGATTAAATTAAGTTGATGGCATATTCATTGAATACGGTGCTGAGTTTTGCAGAGGGTATCTCTTCTCTGGCAAGCAAATCTTTAGGGGCAGATTCCTACTATTGCAAATAACTGTTCCTCTCCCTAGGGACTCCTGATTGCCTTCGCCCTTCAACGTTACCGTATGGGTGTCCAAGATTTTGACCAGAGTTACATCGACCCAGCTCCAGGCCCAACACCTCCATACTCCAGTTACCCCAATGTCAGTCATGAGAGCTACCAGCAGCCGCCCTTCACTCAGACTGCAGAGAACTCTGAGGGCTACCAGCCTCCACCTGTGTATTGATTGCTACTAACACTGTTCAAAGCAGCTGGCAGGGATAGTATCCTAGTGCTATGTGTTCATTTCTTGAGGTGGGAACCATGTCTACTGTGAAATTGTGGTGCCACAACCAAGATTGTGGGTTGTGCATGTATATGTTTTGGGTTCTGGGATATTCTACTATTTTCAAAACTTGCATCTTGCAGAAAGTGATGTTTCTTTTATGGGCACAGGAAGCTTGCTGTGTGACTTGCAAGGAATATTAATTGCTGAAATGGTATTGACTACTTGATTTTATTATTGCTGCAGCTAACTTAAGCTGCTTGCTGGAAATAGCTAGAGACATTCTGCCGCAGAGGAACACTGTACTTCTACTGGATGTGCCCCAGTGGAATCCTTGCCCCAGCTATCCTGCCCCAATGCTGTTACATCTGTGCCTTGGTGTGCTTGCGCATCTTGACCATTCTAGACTTCCAATGGGTCTGGTGTTCCTATGGCTCTGTGGTGCTGCCCTTCCAGACTGTGCACTGCTTTCTATCGTTTCAGCTGCTGATACCAAAACCAATTAAAAGCATTTCTAGATAAAGCTTTAGACGTATTGCATTTACTATATCATACATTTTTCTTTGGTTTAAAGTGGGAAGGACTTGGCTCCATGGAGAATTTGACACCTGTTTTAAGTATTCTATAGAGGCCCACAGGTTTTCAATAATGTACCAAAGGTAAACTCACTCTTGCAGTTTATTCTCCTAACCTTTCCTGAAAAGCTAAGAAAGGAAAGGAAAACGCAAACAGGAATGTGCATGAAGTGGAAAGTCACTGCTTCGAACTCATAACACTCTGCATTCTGGAAGCTCAAAAACAACAGCTGCAGTACTCTCTTTTGATCAAACTCAAATCAGGCAGATTTTTCTGGTGACTAGAATAGGCATATTGCCTTCAACCACAGCCAGTGCCAAAGCACAGCATATCCCATTGCCTCACTTCCCGATCTTCCCAGCACAGTCCCTGCCCCAAAAGCACAGCAGACCCTATCCCCACTTCCACAGTGCCTTCTTTTCTTCCCTGCTGTGACTGCCAGTCTCTGCATGTGGTACCACTCTTGTCCTATTTCAGGGGTAGGCAACCTCGGCTCTTTTATGACTCATGGACTTCAACTCCCAGAATTCAGCTATGCTGACTCAGGAATTCTGGGAGTTGAAGTCCATGAGTCATAAAAGAGCCGAGGTTGCCTACCCGTCCTATTTCAAACCATCTGTGTTTCAGTCTACCACTGGAACAAAGGGGGCTCCATTTTAGTCTTTATACAGACAAATTCATTCAAAATTGATGCATTTTAGTTCAGGCATAGACCAGCTAAAAATGGCTGTTCTGCACACAATGTTTTTATACATCTTCATTAACAAGTCTTTGTGAGATAATGGCCTTTTTTGTATCCCTAGCCTGTGGCTGTTAACACTGCTCTTTTCTAATTGCATGTTTTGGGAAACTTCAGGCAAATATTGCAATCTTGGGGCTTTGAAGTGTTTTAAATCTTTTGCCATAGTAGAAGTTGGATTATACACATCCCTTAGAACATACTGTGGATTTTCATGTATCGTATAATTTTAGGGGAGAGGAAAATAATTTACAGAGGGATTAATAACTGGGCAAGGGTGTATTGTTGTCTAACAAATGGACAGCACTGGATCGTTTAAAAAGCATGAACCCTTTATTGCCTGCTTTTTGTCTGAAAAAAAATTATATAGCTTATGTGAAGATCATTTGTACTGTTTAGGAATAACTAGGGTAGGATTATTGGTAGTAATTATTTTTAAGCTTCCCAGAGAGAAAACAATCTTAGCATTTTCAGCTGTAATTTCCCTTTACTGAATGTCATATATATAGCCATTTCCTGATTAATGATTTACTTATTAGGGCAGTATGATGTGTTATATCAACAGGCATTAACAAAGTGATTGGGTAACTCTGGAATACATTTTAAACCAGTAGTAAAGTTTTTGTCACTGAACTTAAATATTCTTAAGGTGAACTGGTACTACACATAAAACTTAAAAGTAAGAATAATTTTATTCACTATATCATTGATTAAAACCAATGCTTCAGTTTCCACTACAGAAGTTAATATTTCTGCTCCTAAGACAACAGAAGTCACTGGGGATATTTTCAGTGTAAAAGGACTACATTTACTCAAAAAGAGGAAGTGCGGATACTCATCACTGCAGTAAAACCAAAATGCTAGATAGTATGCTAGAAAGTATAAAGCAGGAATATAATCCTTAAACAACGACTGACACATTAGTAGCCAGTTTAATAAATTAAACAAGCAAAAGTAGAATATAATTAAATCAATAATGTAAGGTGTCAATCTCTATCCAGGAAAGTTGGACAGCAATTAAAGAACCTTTATTATCTTGATTATAAGGGCTGGAGAAAGGGCCTTTTTCTTTGTAAGTCCAGACCTTTACTTATAGGCAGATATACACAGCACCAAATAAAAATACATTTTGTTCAGTTAATCTATTCAGTCTTTACAACCCAACAGCCTGTTTCATTGTCAATGAATTACCTATTGAATATAGAGTCAGAATTCCCCTGCCCTCGAGCCCCAATTTGATGGATTCAGAAAAATAATGTTCCAGTTTCATAGTGCAACTTGCTGTTAGTAAATTTAGCTATTATGGCCGTTAAAACTCTGAATTAAACCGTTTGGGGAAGTTTTGTGCAAGAGGAAATGCCACTAATGACATTACAAAATCTTCCCTCTAGAGACTAAGAAACCAGTGCAGTTCTCAATATAGAACACCCTTATTCATAGCATGTTATAATGTCTTCAAGCCTTGTTGCTTCTCATAAAAACAACTCTCTCTGATGTTTTGGACGGGCATCAGTTTAACCATACAAAGCTAGAAGGAAGGACAGAAAAAATGTCTCTCTAAATCCACCTGGGAATCAGATCTCTTGCTTCCTTTGTTCAACTGGATGGATTCCACTGCATGATCTGACGGGTAGCCAAGACTTTCCTGGAGGCATTAATATCCAGGGGTTTATTCCCACCCAGTAGGTTCTCTTTGTTTTCGGATACCAAGTGTTGTCGGTTTTTGAAATAGCAGACCCGGCAGACTGAGTGATATTTGTCTGCCCCTCCTATTACTTCCACCTAGTAGGATGAAATTTAAAAATTAAAGATTTTTCTCAACCTATAACAGGCAATATATCTATCTCACAGTCAATAGCTTTAAAGAAAGGGAGAGCTTTTATTGGAGTCTTACCTCTTTCTCTGTTCCCAGCCTTTTAGTGTAAGAGGCTTCATGAAAACACTCCATACAAACCGCGTTAAGTTTCACCACACTTTCTGCTAAGGGGACTAGTTGCAAGATGTTCCCAAAAGCCTGCAATGAAACCATGAATTTCTTTATAGATCTGGGACATAAACTATCCAGAAATTCTAATGAAGAATTTAAAGAGACTTACCCTCCTCTGAAATGTTCCATCAAGGGCTGCCACAATGACAGTCTTTCCTGCATTGGCCATTGTCTCACAAAATTCAACTATATCTGGAAACTAATTGGGAAAATTAAAAGTTCATCATTCCCTCATTCCAGCTTTTAGAAACTTTGTAAAGTAATGTGTAAGACACTGTTGTGAATACAGTTAGTGATGCTCCTCCAAAGAGCAAAAAAGTGTTGCTGCTGAAGATCTATTTCAGGGGTTCTCAACCTTGGCAACTTTAAGACTTGTGGACTTCAACTCCCAGAATTCCTCAGCCATTCTGTACCCATTGGTGTATTAGATGCTTCTATGAGGCTCACAAGCAAGAGTACAGCAAAGCCTCCCACTGATCTTTAGTATTTAACTTTTGAATATATGCTTTCTCCAGTAGTAAAGGTAATTGTATATAGTCATTCCCCCATACACAGTTCTAATCCTTTTAAATAAGTATTTATTTTTATTTGTTGTAATTCGATCATTCGGCTTACTTTCTAGGTTTTATAATTCAAAAGAATACATTTGCACACTTCTATATTACATCCCCATTCACCTTTTTCCTACCTAAGAGAGCAAAATTATATTCTTCTGAAGGTTGTCTCTCTCTCTCTCTCTCTCTCTGTGTGTCTTTTTTAACCCTATGATGCTCTTTTTCAGACGAATTGACCAAAATTCTACTTGTACTCCCAAGTCTGGTTGCATTTTCAATTTCTTTGAGATTATGCCATTAGAAGCATTTACATGGTATTCATAGCCCAATTTTATCCATTTGCTAAGAACCAAGTCCTACTGAGTTTTACTGGGGTTTGCTCTCCAGGTGAAGCATGCATAAGATTGTATTTTAACCATTCACATTTACAATCAAGTCAAGAGAATATAAGAATCTATCACATTGTCACAGTTGCCCAACATCTCAAGAGTTAATATTAAACAAAATGGGTCTTACCCTACGTAAGTGCGTATAGAATTACATTTCAAACTCTGTTAAGCATGGAAACAACGATCAGTACTTGGCAGTTCATTTAAACATTCAGATAATATAAACTTACAAACTGGCCTTCATCAATGCCAATCACAGTGGAATTCAGAGCCTCCTGCTGGACATCTTTGAGACAACAAGCTGACATGGCCTCCATGGTGTTTCTGTGCAGAAAGAATAACAGTTGGAAGGGACCACGAAGGTCTTCTAGTCCAACCCCTGCTCAAGCTGGAGACTTTACACTATTTCAGACAAATGGCTGTCCAATATCTTCTTAAAAACCTCCAGCGGTGGAGCACCCACAATTTTTGAAGGCAAGCCGTTCCACTGATTAATTGTTGTCAGGAAATTTCTCCTTAATTCTAGGTTGCTTCTCTTTTTCATAAGTTTCTTTTTATAAGGTAAGTATCTGCAACATGTTAAAATTTATTTAAGGATAACTATTCCCAAATACCAAAACCTGCAGATCCTCTTTAAGACAGACAGCAACCCTTTGAATCCTAAAGACCATGTGTTAGCAAACATTTTAGTGAACACAGTTTTAAATAAAAAAATGTAGAAAAATGCTTTACCTTTTTGAAATTGTCTATTTACATAGAAAATAGTGGACATTTTGTGAAAAAATTAAAATTTGAAGTTCTGAAAGGCTCAACCAATATAAATTAGGGAATCACAATTTTAGCTTATTTGAAGAACAAAAGTTATATAAAGTATTCAGTGTAACTGATTGAATCATAAGAGTTTGGGGTGATTTGCCTCACAAGAATGATTTTATGATGAAAACATAACTGCACACAGCAGGGCTCTGGATTATGCTAGCATTTAACAAAACCTTTTATAATCTTGCAATTTTGTTCCCTCTCTCTAAAGTGACAGGAGCCATTACTTTTTTGTTTGTAAAGAAACATTGAACTGTGTGTGAAAGTGTAATTTATAGGTATAATAGTTAAAATCATTGGGAAAGTTACTATATAAGGAAATGAACTTGCCTTATTTTTGTGAAACAGTGCCTTTTCATATAATAATAATATATGCCTATCTACCATAATCTGTAAATTCTTTTTCTAATTCTCTAAAAGCTCATATTATGTTGAGACTTACATGAAGCTTCACTCTACAATATTTAAGGCCAAAGAAGTGTGTCAGATGTATGCTGAGACAATACCACTAATTGCAGTTTCTTGAAGATGATAAAACAAAACCCACAAGCAATCAATATTACAAGACACATATGAATCCTATTTTCCTGAACCAAAAAGTGTATTCCTGTAAAGTGTTTTCTCTGAATGATAAACTATTGTTTTACATTGCTCGTAGTATATTTTCACCTGTCATGTGTGGAGACTCCATTGACACAATAGCGTGTGTCTTTCGCATACTTGATTAGTAGACATTTATACTGTGCAATTTGAAATCGACGGACTCGGCGCATCAGTTCAGTGCTAAAAAAGAATTAAGATTCTTTTGTGACAAATGCTACTCAGAAAAAACTAAAGTACTCAAAAAGTAAAATCTTTTTTATTCTATCATGGATCAAAACTTTTTGCACAACACAAAATCTCAATTTTAATAATCTGGTCACATAACTTCAAAGTAATTGAGCATCTAAGCCCTTGGATAATACATTCCCTTAAGATACCAAACCTATACCATTTTCAATTTAGATACAGTATCAGAAACAGAGAAAATGGTAAATTTTTGCCCCCTACCTATTCCAGCCTTCTCCAACATGATATTGGAATTATATTGAAGCTTAAAATTCTAGAATTCTTAGCCAAAGTTTCAAAGAATAAGACAGTGCTACTCTTCTATATGTTGTAATATAAGTGTAATTATTATTTTTATTTATTTATTTGTAGCCCACCTTTATTATTTTTACAAATAACTTAATTTCCCCCACAACAAGAACCCTGTGAGGTGGGTGAGACAGAGAGAGTGACTGGCCCAAAGTCACCCAGTTGGCTTTCAGGGCTAAAATTATCTCAGCCATACTTTTAATTCCTAGTTACTGAGTTAAGGAGAAGCATGGGCCTAGCAAGCTGAATATAACCAGGCCAGCAGACTGTCTTGCTCCTGTGCAAATTCCCCCCTCCCCATATAGTTTATTTCACTTGAAGATCCCCTCTTCTTTTCTAGTCATCTTAGTATCTAGATACCAGTGCTAACTATTTGTAATGCCTTCATACCTTTTTCCAGAGAACATGGGTCCAAAGATGACCTGTCATAAGAGGGGGAAAAAAATGAATAGTCAGCAGTTTTCCCATTTTCTACCGAACTCCTTCGCTTCCCTGACTTCAAAATTTTCCATCCTTGACTATAATGCAGTGTTTCCCAACCTTGGTCATTTGAAGACGTGTGGACTTCAACTCCCAGAATTCCCCAGCCAGCTTTGCTGGCTGGGGAATTCTGGGAGTTGAAGTCCACACGTCTTCAAATGACCAAGGTTGGGAAACACTGCTATAATGTAATCTTTTCAAACTCCTAAAGTGGATCGTCCTGTCATGTACCTGTATCTGGCCGCGGGCCTTGTGCGGGGATCCTGGTTGCACTCTCGGCATCATCATGCAACTCATAGTGCCGACTGCGTCCCGCCGATTGCCGCGCTCCAAAGTAGAATCCCCGGAAGGCGGCATTTTTCAGGCGCGCGCGCGCGGGGTTTGGTCTGACCAATCGGGACGGCTCCCACCAGTCAGCGAATCATGAAAAAAAAGAACTTTTTGGCCAATCACTAACAAGGCGGCACATTTTTTTTTTCTTTAAAAGTACTTGTTGACATTCCTGACGACTTAGAAGGAACTTCCAACATGTTCTACGAAGCAAGCAAGCAAGCAAGGGGGAAGGGAAGAAGGACATACCGGAATTTGCTTATCTATTGCTGTTAATGTTCTATTTGCTTGTCTAGCTGGGCGTCTTCTTCTTTTGTTGCAAAATCTTTTGTTTTAAGGGATTTTTTTTTCTGTTGGCAAAGCAAGGGAAGGTTAAAAAAAACACACACACAAAGCAACATTCATTCGACCTCCCCAGCCTATTGTCTAATAACTGATAACTTGAGATTTCAACTTCTTTTGTCACAAAATTTGGAAAGCGTTAGATTGAAGAAGGCTGTGGGTATGTGGCATGATGCTTACACTTGCTTCGTTAGGGGATGCACATACTCATTCAGAGATGTTTCCATTCAGGAAATTCAAGGTCACAACTAAACTGGAAAGAATTAACTGGCAGAAAGGTATCACTTGTGCAGACAGCTTAAATAAATGAAAATTTTTAAGCGTGAAGTTCAAACCCAAATCTTGACACAGTATCCATTTTAGAATTTCAGTTTAAACAAATTTCGCCATCTCAGCCTCCTGAATCCCTGACCGCGGCATCACCAATTTTCAGAATTTTCTTTGCTGGGGACAAAATATGATCAATTTTTAAAAAAGCAACCAACAACATTTCTAAGCATGAAATTTAACCCTGAATCTTGACACAGTATCCGTTTTAGCATTTTGGATGAAAACTTTTTGGCCTCTTGGCGTCCTGCATCCCTGATCCCGGCATCATGAATCATTCATATTTTCGTTGTTCAAATATTTTCTGATTTTTCATTGCTAGGGATCAAATATTGTCGATTTTTAAAAAAAGCAACCAACACCATATTTAAGCATGAAATTCAACCTCAAATCCTGATGTGGGAAAAAGAGTATTGTTTTTGCAGAAACTGCAGAAGACATGCTAGCCTGTGAAGAAATACATTGTATATATTTTAATCTCATGAGCCTAGCTTGAAGCTTGAGAATTGCATTTAGGAAGGTCTCTGCTATGCTGAAAACCAGTCTTAACCAGAATTTACTGATATGATAGTAACTTTAGAGACAACCCCTAGGAACTAACAATCATAAAAGGTAATTTGTAAATAAGGGCGGGAGGGGGGGTAGAATTAGGGGTTGGGGTTAGGGTTAGGGGAGATGTAATCAGGGGCAGAGATAATGTATTCACTATAGGAGCTTTGGATAGGTTGTGATGACATGATTACAGTATGATTACTAAGCCAATGAAGAAGAGGTGGGAGGTAAATTTGTAAATTTGCAATGGGGAATATAAAGAATGAATATTGAAGATTTTGAGTGTGCCCACTGTGTGCTTGCATGCACAAAGAGCACCCTCTTTGCAAAGTATAGTACAAATAAATTATCATTGTTTTCTCTTGGAAGTTTTGGCTGGTGGTTATTTATTTCAGCTAGACAATGAATCCCACAACTTGGGGGCTCTCCCGGGATTCTCCAGAAAGCTGCAGAAGTCACTGAGCAAGCACCAACTGAGAAGACATGTCCCACTGAATTCAATGGTCCTATGTTGTGAATCATTGGTGAGTCCTGTGTGCCTCTGGAATCCAGAACGGAGGTTAAGAGAAAGAAATCATAAGGGAAAAGTGCTGGGGGAATTATACAGTGGGCACCGAAGCGCTGCAACCAAGCAATTTTGTGCACAGACCAAGGTAAGAAAATTTGGACTTAAGCATTGCCTTGGCGGTTGGGATATATAGCTCTGTGTGTTGGGGCCAGGTTGATGGGTAGTGTGGCGTGCTTGGAGCACAAGTTGGTGTGAAGTCCATGAAGGGGGTGGAACAGGTGGTTTGGTTAAACTTTGAAGAGATTGTGATCCTAGCATGGGAAACAGGGTGGGTAAGAAGTGCCATGGAGGGGAGGTGGGATCTCCTCTGAACATTCTGCCAGATAGTCCATGGGGCACAATGTTGTAAAACCAGGACTAAGAGTAAAGAAAGAGTGATTCAATATTGTTATTTTGAGTGGCTAAGAAATCCTGTTAAAAGCACTAGTGTATTTTGCCCAAAATATGGAAGTTTTGAGGATTGGCTACGTCAAGCATTAAACATATATGTTAACAATAGAAGTTATATGCCTGTTGGATCCCAGCCAGTATATTTTATAGTTAAAGAAAAGAAGGAGGAGGGGATTGTATGAAAGCCCAGTGAGACCCCTTGGACAGTCTATGTCATGTCCAGGGAGCCCCAGTGGACAGACCTAATAGAAAAATAAGGGAATGTTTTGGAAGATAGGAAGTTTGAAGAGAATTTTATTAAATGGGTAAGACTGGTGTACACAACATAGAAAGCACAAATAATTGTTAACGGAGAGTTAACAAATCTTGTGGGATATAAAAAGGAACAAGACAGGTCTGTCCATTATCTCCTCTCATTTTGTTTTTTTTTAGTCCTTGAAATATTGAATAAATATATAAGACAAAATGAGAAAATTGTGGGAATAAAGATTAAAAGAGAAATTTTTGGTTAAGAGCATTTGATTTGATACTGGTTTTAGAGGACCTTTTAAAGGGAATTGTAACATTGATAGGAAAAATAAAATAATTTGCTACATTAGCAAGTTTTAAGATTAACAAACAGAAGACAGATCCATTACCAAAACATTCTGTCTATATTAGCAATGTGTGGCTGCAGTCAAAACTAAAGTGGATATATGCTGAATAAAAACAGCTTTTATTTTTAGAAGTTGACTGCCTTCTCTCGGGGTATCTAGGTTAAAATTTAACTCCAATGACTTGTTTTCAGCATGCTTACAAAGGCATGGTAGAACAATCTATGTATGAGACACAGAGATCAGTAAGTTAAGACAAACTAGAAAAATTGAGGTGGGGTAGGGATAGCATTGCCAGGCCTAACATTACCATTTCTTCCCCCAAATTTGTGCACTTAGATATTGCAATAGCAGGAAGGCGGTAAGCTGAATTTACTCAGTGTCTCTGTTCTACAGTAAACAGGACAACTGCTTTCTGTGCAGCCCCAATGCTGGTATGACCAATGAGGACAGCTCCTTGATGAGGAATTGCTGACGTCTCACAGAGCAGCTGGAAGAGCACAGGCCAAGGAGGAACATGGGATTGGATCTGCACTGTTTGTCAGAGGCTATTTTGGATCGTATGTTCTCAGCACTTTGTTCGCCCTGAGCCCAGGTTCATCAGGAGAAGGAATATAGCCACAACGTAGCCATTACTATGGGAAAGTGGCAGAAAATGACAAAAGAGGTATAGCTGTAGTTTTTATGTGTATGTGATTGTGGAAAGGGAGGGAAGAGAGATTTTCAGTGTTTGTTTAGTGTGGATGTACTTTAGAGTCATTAAAAAAATGATTTGGGAGTTTCCAGAATGGAAAGAGGAGAGGTACAATGTGTTTTGCTCTAGAACAGTGGTTCTCAACCTGTGGGTCGGGACCCCATTTGGGGTCGATCGACCATTTCACGGGGGTCGCCAAGCAAGGCTGTCCGCCATTTTTTTTGTCTGCCATTTTTTTTGTCCGCCATTTTTTTCCCCCTTTTCCGGCGGGTGCCTTACCTCCCTTGGGCTGGGCCAGCTGGTGGTCGGCCTGCTCCGTCTCTGCCGCTTGCCAGCTACGCCTCGGCCGGTGCAGGGGGCGGAACCACGCATGCGCAGTGCTCCCAGGCAGGGAAAGTCCTCGACTTACGACCAGTTGGGTAGTCCTCGACTTACGATTGGTTGGGTAGTCCTCGACTTACGACCGGTTTAGTCCTCGACTTACGACCGGTTGGGGTCGCAGCATTAAAAAGGTTGAGAACCACTGCTCTAGAACAAGGGATAAGAAATGACTTAATCTGAGATTTATTTATGCGCTTGAAAGTTTAGTTCCCTCACTCCCCGAGGAACTCCCTGAGACAGCTCCTGGGCCCTGCTGCAAAAATCATACCCAGCACAAAATTGAAGCCCAAAAGGTTTAACCAGCAACCTTTGTGTCAAGAATATCACAGTCTGCAATGCAACTGCCTTTGCAGCGTAAAGAGCTCCTATGGTTGCTTTTCAGAGCTTCTCAGGTCCATGCCTCCTCCTCCTCCTCCTCCTCCTCCTCCTCCTCCTCCTCCCTCCTCCTCCTCCGAGCTTTTCTGCAACATACTGCCATTTTCATACTCAGGTTCAGAGAAGAGGCCAGGATGATAGAAAGGAGATTTATTCAGCCAAGTATTTAGATCAGGGGTAGTCAACCTTGGCTCTTTTATGACTCGTGGACTTCAACTCCCAGAATTCCTGGCTCAGGAATTCTGGGAATTGAAGTCCACGAGTCATAAAAGAGCCAAGGTTGACTACCCCTGATTTAGATCAATGTTATTGGTCTTAAGACTAAGAGAATTCTGGGGAATAAATTCTACGTGACTAGAAGGGTGCAAGTTTCTCTGATGTATGGAAGCAGTCACAGATTGTTAAATCTAAGGTTAACTAAATTAATCCTAGAAAATAAATCAAAAAAGGCATTTTGTGCATGCAGATGGGACTACAGGTGCAGCAATTCATATAGGCAGCCACTCGCCTCTCTCTCCCAGGTAGCATCATTTGAGGTTAGCATCATTTCAAACCACAAGTATTTCTGAAACTATCCAGATTGTGTACTGATGCTATTGCATTTGTACAAGTTATCCTGGTGTTTTTTTTCTACACAGGAGTTGGAGACTGAGTACTCCCCTAGTAGATGGTCTCCAAGGCTGGATAAGGATGCTGTGATTGAGGCACACATGAAAGCAGTGACTGAAGGTATGGGCTATCCAAGAGCCAAAATAATGGGGTGAGCAGACAGACTGCCTTCCTATAGACCTCCCAGTTCCTGTGGATTGCCAAAATATACTATGTCCTATGAGTCTGCTTCAGTAAAACAGGCAACATGCATGCTTTTATGAACACAGGATTACATTGTGATGATTGGTTATATCGTGGCAGGTGTACTCTTGTTTGTAAATTAATTCTCATCAAATTTGCATGAAGCTGCAAACATAGGAATATTGCTTGTTCACAAGACAAAGAAATACAATAAATAAGGCAAAGAAAGCTGAAAACACAACAGATGGCAACAAGCTCCCCAAAGCCCTCCTGAACAGCTCAGCCTTCAGCTTTTCCCAGAAGGTGGAAAATATTGAAATAAATTGGTGGGTATGGCATTTCTAATGAGTCGGCCATACAAATTTATGGACTCTGCTGTGAAAAGAAAAATATACCAGGGAAGAGCTGGGCAATACTGAAAAAAAAATGAAGAGACCTCCTTCCTTTGAAGCTATGTCAAGGTAAAAAGCCACTGATTTTCCAGGAAGCAGCTGTGATGATAGGTTGTCCTCGACCTATGACCTCAATTGAGCCCAAATTTATCTTGTTAAGCAAGAGAGTTGTTAAGTGAGTTTTACCCCATTTTAGCACTTTGCACTAAATGTCATGGTTCCGACAGATGAAACTCTTCAAAAAGAACTTCGAGGTATTGTTTACCTTAAAGAATCTTTTATTCGAGAAACAAAGTATCGGCACTACATAGTCGAAACCAAAAACTAAATTCCCCTCCCCTGGATACAAAGTATCAAAGCACAATTCCCTCCTCCAATAAACAGCCATAAACCACATTCCCCAATTAGCTTGAAGCGCAGGCTTTCTCCCCAGCTCTCTAGCCCGCCAAAACTCTATCAACTCTGGGCCCAATGACCTTGGATTCTCACGGCTGAGTTATTATTGTTATGACTAGCTGGACTCTCATCCACATTCCCCCTCCCAGCATCAACTAGCTCTAGAAGCAATAGAGAAAAATAGCTGCATTTCCATTTGTTGTCAAAGCAAGAACATCCGATGTTAGCAGCGTTGACACTAGCACTTAGACTTATATACCACTTCACAACCCTCTCTAAATGGTTTCAGAGTCAGCATATTGCCGCCAACAATCTGGGTCCTCATTTTATGATCTTTCTTGCCACAATTAAGTCACTGCAGTTGTTTATTTATTTATTTATTTATTATTTCAATTTATATCCCGCCCTTCTCCCGAAGGACTCAGGGCGGCTCACAACATTATTAAAACAAAGAAAGACCCACACACCCCACCGAATAAAACCAAATTAAAACCAAAATTTTTATGTTGTGATAATTAAAATTTCTAAAAAACCCAGTTTAAAAATCCTCCCTAGGCCAGG